TGCTTCACAACCATTCTTCAACACTTGGTATAAAGCAAAGGTCATGGATTAGCGGACCAGGGTCAGGATCCGGACCCACCTGCTGGCTAATCCAGACCCAAACTGATTTAAAACATTTTTAAATTACTGCATGTTGTCAGGCGACAGTGTCTAATTTCACTTGCGCCGCTTCTCCTGTTAATACGGTAAAGCCCTCCAGAGCATCCAGGACCAGGCTACACGTGATACAAATTAGCCAATGAGCTGCTGTCAGTCTGGGTTGCTGCTGCTCACTAGTTCTAGACACAGCAGGCAAACCTGTGGCGAACCAGGCGATGGGAAAGAAGGAGAAGATGATGAGAAAAAGAGAGCTGAGAAAGTGTGGACTGCTGGAAGAAGCGCAATTCAGCGTTTAACATGGATGCATAAACACCTGCATTTTATTTCAGTGTTGATTGTTTTCTTTGTTTGGTTGTTGAATTTCTTTATTTTGACCCCGCTGATTTTTAATTGGTGTTCATTGAGATGAATGAATGAACATCATGGTTCTCATCTGTCTTACTGATAACTCCTATGCATCCTAATGCATCTACTACAAATAGGTGTTTCTAGGAACATGCTAACTAAGCCCCATAGTCTCTGAGATGGCGCTTATAAAATTCATCAGTTTTAATTTCCACATATCTGATACCGATCTTTATTTGAAAGGAGTAACATTAAATTGAAGCATCTGAGAAATGCACAAGATGTTTCCTTTCCTATTAGATTAGTAAAAGAGAAGCAATGAGGAAAACAAAATCTTTTAACTTCATGACCCTAATCTTCCACTTTCATCTTTCCACATCCAGGCCTTCTACTCGTTTTGCTCCAATTACCTGGCATTCTGTGGCTGATTCTTGGAGACCAACGGTAAGTTAATCACGGCTTAGTTTACATTATTTTAAGAGGCCTTCATTTTGGTCCCCTTCTAGGTTGAAAAATATTCTGCTGCATCTTAAATGATCATCTTCTTAGTCCGAAGAAATGAAGAGAACCTCAGAGAGAGTGGTCCAGCACTGGAGTTTATACGACAATCAGATTAGGCTCAACATTGTCTGTGAGGATCCTGTTTCTGGATGCTTTACAAACCAGCCATTGTTTGGGGGGGTATTTCCAGCCAGATGGGGTATCAGTCATTTGGCTCCTCTAACACTGAACCGAACTTAACCACCCTCAGGAACACCAGATAGCTCAAATGTGATTACTTATAACTGTCGTATATCAAATGGATTAAAAAAAATGGTGTTTGAGGATGGCTGATTTGAGCTACAGTTACATATCAATCAGTGAGGCATGCAGTGACACTTTAGGCCATCTTTTCTTTCTCTAGGGTCGTTTGTCCAGGTTTTCTAGTCTCTTATGTCAGATGTTTGTCTCAAAGAGACTTTGTTAAAACCACAATGCAATTGAAGATGCTGTATTGATTTTCCCTGAAAGGACAACGAACATTAAAGGGACACTATGCAACATTTTTCAGTTAATTAATGTGTTCCATAACGTTTTGGATGATTAAATGAGTCATTTCAGGTTGAACAAAGGTATTCTCGGCCGCCCTGGTGGTCTGTGGGGGAAATACTGCACTTGCAACTGCAGGAGCACCGACCCGCACCCACAGGCTCAGAAGTCTTGTGAGAGTCAGTCTTGCTTTACGGCGAGAACTGCTACACGCCCCCAGTTAAAAGCATTCTCGTTGCTAGCACAGTGGCAATCTTTGTGCAGTTATGCTACGTTCACGCAGCAAAAGCAACAAAATCGCGTCTGCTGCTTCCTTTTTGCTGCTTGTACCAGTTAGTTCTGACGCGTGGCTGAAGCAGCTTTGCTGCTCCGGCTGTGTCTGAGGCGCGTTGGGCGGAGCTTCACTAACCTTTCTCTGCCTTGCAGCTATATTTGCTGTGATCAGTGGGAATAAAGTAGTTTTAATATGTGTTTAAGTGAGAAAATACACCTGAAAACGTAATCAGTGCAGTCAGTTCATTCAGATTATTATCCTGCCTTCAATATTTTTTCTGTCGGAGCCGCTCAGACCCCCACATACCAGCGGAGCGCCAACAGTATGGATCCCTTCATCAGCAGCGGTTCACCGTGGCAGCTGGTAGGTGTTCTTCATGTAAATAATCCAAACTGCATATTCTGCCGGCAGATTTCTGCATTTTAAGTTAATTTAGGCGTCAATAAACTGTTTAAGAGGAGAGATCATCAGCGCTGTGTCTCTCTCCCTGCGTTAAACGCACCCGACGCGCTGCTTCAGTTGCTCAGACGTGCTGCGCCTGGTGCTCAAAACGCGCCGCGGGACCTTTTGCTGCGCCTTGACGCGCGTCAACCATTGACTTTGCATGTAAACTCGCTGCTTCTGTCGCGCCAGCTACGTCCAGTGTGAACGCAGCGTTAGTCATTCGCTGCTAAGCTCAAAACAACCGCCTGGCTTTACGGAGAAACCAGGAGAACAGCTGTGCATATTTACGACAGTGCACTTTTACTTTCGCCCTCTGGAGGGAGCCTCACTGGAAAATCAACACCGGTTGCATAGTGTACCTTTAAGCAGATGTTCAAAAGCTGTAGAACTTGTATTAGTCCAGACATTCATATGTAGGTTTATATTGACAGACTAGGGGCAATCATGTGGGACAGTTTTTATACCCTACAGACCCCTGTGGACAGGGTCATGCTTAGATTAATGTAATGTTGTCTCTCTATAGAATCAGAAAGCGACAGTACAAGATTAACTTTCACAATAGGTGAGTAAAAGGGAAACCTTATAACTTTCGATGGTAAAAGCTGTAAACCTTTACAGCACTTGTCTAGTCAAACTGGCCATCCAAAGGGTTCATATGACATCAGAATTGCAGTTTTATTTAAAACATATGCATGAGAAGTACTCTCAACACTCATTGTAAACATTTTATGCATGTAGGTTCAATACCACAAGGCCCACAATGCATTACAAGCGTGATTTGCTGCTTTTTTATGTGCCTATAGATTCTCTCCTGCTCACATTTGAACCAGTTTCTTTGCGCTAATGTCAGTTTTTATCACTTTGAGGGAGAAACCAACCCGAGAAACTAAATCATATGATTGAATCATATGATTCTTCAGAGAGACCATCTATAGAAACTTGCTTATAAAGCTGAAACCGAACCGAGTTATTCTCCTAAAGAGCTAAAAAGTTGGTTAAGAGAAGTCATCGTTAAATAACTTGGTTTGATTCAGGCGTAATGTTTACCCAGTCGCGTCCACTGAAAATGCGGAGGGTAGACATGTTGCGGTTAGCTGCCTTGCACAGGGGGACGTCAACATGTGAGACTTCAAATCCACAATCGGACAAGAAGTCAACTCTATGCAAAGAGCAACGGTTATTCTCAGAAAACTGTTTTGTGGATAAATGATAACCTCATGTGAACTATAACGGTGGAAGGGTAGTGGTTTGGTGCAGCAGGGCCAGGCAGGCTCACAATCATGAAATCCACAGTAAATTCTTCCTTGAATCATATGATTCTTCAGAGAGACCATTTATAGAAACTTGCTTATAAAGCTGAAACCGAACTGGACAATGTTACATGGCAATCACCCAACATATGCCAATGAATTTACAGAATATCATAGAGTCCTACCATTGCTACCATAATTCTCTGTTAGCAAAAAAAGATCTATGCTATATGGAATTTGTAAATCAGGCATATATTAAGAATTGGAATAAGAATAAAGGTTTTTATAACAGTATATTTAAGCAAATTTATCTAATTTGCATAAAAATTTGAAAAAAGTGCTATAAAAATGTGAACCCAGCACTTCCTAGACCAGAGTTGCCGGATTAGCGAACCAGGGTCCGGATCCAGACCCACCTGCTGGCTAATCCGGACTCAACCAGATTTAAAACATTTATAAATGACTGCATGTTGTCTGACGACAGTGTCTAACTTCACTTGCGCCGCTTCTCCTGTTAATATGGTAAAACCCTCCGAAGCGTCCGGACCTTTACTGGATGATGATTTTGTTTATTCGGACCCCGCTGATTTTTTATTGGTCACCCCTGATGTAGACTGTCATCTAAAGACTCATCCTGACTGATTGCTACCCCCCCACTGTTAGGCTCATAAAAAATCCTAGTGTGAAGCCTAACACTATGGCAAGACTCCTTGCCCATAGTAATCAGTGCACACAGCACAAAGAGGCACACACAACTCCAAATTGTGCACATAATTTGCCTGGTACTTGAGATAAAATTTTCTTTTTGGACAACAGATCAAAAAAATGATATATGGGGAAGAAAAGGAAAAGAAACAAGTTGAAGCAGAGATTTAGTATATAATTAAAATAGTTGCAGCACAACTCTTAGAGAAAGTGATGTGTTTAGAGTGAATTAAAAAGTTAACTTTCTTTCTTGCAAAAGATGAGGCAAATAGGGGGAAATTACCGGGCTTAAAAGACTTGGAACCACCTCTTACCTTCATCATGTTAAGCTGTTGGTAAAAAATACTAAAGGTGTAATTCTTACTTAAATAAATATCCTACACTAATTCTGGGGTCACAGAAACCTCCCTTATTGATAGTGAATTTCCACGTTGTAGAAAAACCTACTATTCACGATATTGACAGCCATAGTAGAAGACAGCAGGTGAAAAATAAAATACTAAGAGTTACTATCCTAAAATGTGCTGATATTGGGCATTAGACCTAGTTTGATAAATTTGTCAGAGACCTATTTTTATACTCACTAAATGTTTTAGTGAGGCTGTCATTCTCTTCCCCAAAAGTAGCTCAAAAATCACTGATCTAGGTAAAAGCATAAAGTTGCAGAGAGGTTTTCACCACATTTCAGCCTGAAGCTTGCATTCTCCAGTGAGCTGTGAGTAGCACAGACCCTACGGGGGACTGACCTCAAATTTCTGCTGGTTAAAAAAACTCAGGCGAGTGGGGGGTTGCTGTAAAACGGCGCTATGAATAACTGCTCAACAGATACACGTGCTCAGAATCGCACTGAGGGGATTCACACCGAGACATGGAAGCAAGTTTTGGGGCCATTTGATGTGTGTGGTTAATGTTTCAGCCCCATTTCTGCTTTCTCATTGGTGGCAAGCTTTCAGTGCACGGCAGCAGAGAGGATAGGTTTATCCACTGTGAGTTTGTGATGATATACATCCAGCCAAAGTGTGTCTATGTGAGTGAGGGGCTCGCTAATCTGCATGCCTAGTTAGAGCAGTAAGACGCTACATTTCCATCTGCTTGGCACAAATTGAGAAAAATACTTTAGAGTGCTTGTGTGTGTGTGTGTGTGTGTGTGTGTGTGTGTGTGTGTGTGTGTGTGTGTGTGTGTGTTTCCCTACTAATCCACTAGCTGTTCATTGGAGCAGGGTTGCAAGCTAATACATAAGCTCCTGGTTTAAAAAAAATAAAGATCTTTTTGAAAATTTCCTTTGAGTCAAATAAAAAAATGCCCTCTTTGATGAGAGCTTAAGGTCAGCAATACAAGAAAAACAGTATAAAAAAATCCCTTCCTTTTATAAAAAGGTAATACATTGCAGTGAGAAAGTATTTGGCCCCATTTATAGATTCCTGGTTTTGAATCCTATGAACATTTTAATATCTTAGATGTTTAAATCAACGATTTTGGTGATATTTTAGACAGGTTCTATTAAATGGTTTCTTGATTTCACAGGTCTGTCAATCCAGTTCACTGCTTTGCGAAGAAGGAAACCGAATGTGGGTTATCAAAGGTAAATCATGATTTAATACGTGTTTGGTAAAAATGTTTTAAATGGGGCCGGGTTCGAAATAATTACAAATACATTTAATATTTACTCCTGTGATCTTTGTTTTGTTTTTTACATTTCTAGAAAGAGTGAAAAGTAAACTGTGAGAAGATAAAAAATTGTTTTACAGCCGTAAAGACCTTCTTTTCAGTTCATGCTGTCCATCAGCATTCGGCTTCAATCAGCTGGGTTTCCACGACAACCCGCAGAGTCAAGACAACGGAAGAGCCACCCCGATAGCGCGCAGAACGCCCTGACTTCCTATCAGCTTCTTACCCCGACTCTTTCCATCACCATGGACACAAAAACATCCCAATTCATTCGCTGTTATCCACATCGGGTCGTGGCCTCGATTTTCCACTATTGTGGAAGCACACAGACATGCACACCCTGGGAGAGTAGGACAAAGACACATGTATGCACTCACAGGCCTTGGTCTGTGAGTGAAAAGAGGGCGGACAGCCTTAGAGGCTGGTTTTGGGGGTTAATCAAGATTCTAACCATTCACTGGTCACACTAGCAGCCCTTTAATGAAGTTTCCCAGAAGGAAGGAAAGTTCTAAATGGAACCAACATCCTTTAAACTTCTGCTCCGAGTTCCTAAGATTTCTGCATGATGAAGACTGTAAAGGACTATTTATAGACTGTGATATGAAAGACATGTTTTGCTTTAACAAAGTGTTTTTGTATTAAAGACTCTTTTTTTCATAATTTTTTTGATTGAAAAAGCAGATCGAATTCTCACAGGGCATTATGTAACATCTCCCAGTCATAAAATGTTTCAGCCACCTAGTTGTTGATATTAGATGGGATTAATTTGCCTGATAGTGTGATGCTTCCACTGCCATTCTTGTCGTGATCTGGCCTGTTTGCTCTCCCCAAATTAGTAATTCCTCTCACCTGCCCTCTTCTTTCCCTGCCTCAATTATAATTTATTCCCCTCACCTGGATGCTCTGGTTTATATTCAGTTCAGCCTGAGCATTCAGGGCCAGGTCATTGCTTGTCTTTCTGTTCAGTTTTTATTTGGTTCATGTCCTGGATCCTAGCAGCCAGTGGAAAGAGGGTTTTAGTGTTTGTCTCGTCTCCTGATCGTCCACTGTTCCTCCCCTGCGGAGTCCTCTGGGTTTTTGGCTCATTATGGGGGGGGGTCAGTTTTTATCTAAGTAAGCCTGGCTCCTGGGTGGAGACCAGTTTAAAGTCTGCTTCAAGTTCCGGTTCCACGTCCTGTCTCGGCTACCCTCTTCCACTGAGCCTGCCTGTCTGCACCTGATCCTGTCTGCTCCTGTGCGTGACCACCTGGTCATGCTTCTGGTCCCAGTAAGACTCTGAACCCTCCTGGAAGCCTGTGGATGCCTGGAAGTCTGGATCCTGCCTCCTGTCTCTGTTCCTGCCTGATCTGGATCCTGCCTGTTTCTGTCTGTTCTTGTCTGTTCTGGATCCCTGACCAGGATCAGCTTCCACCATCACCTCTGGGACTGCAGCACTGGGACACTTGTGGTCTGGACTGTTAAACCAGGTAAGTGACCAACACAGTTAATCTTCTATTGGTTGATCGTGGTCACTTACCTGTGTTTCCTCCCTAGAGTGTCTGAGATTGGGCGGTGCCCCGCCCCCCCCTGCCTGCAGTGTCCGCGAGCCACAGCTCCGCTTTTGTTTTGTTTTTATTTTAATAAACCTTTTGAACTTTCCTACTGACTGTCTCTCCTGAATACTGGGTCCATCTGTCCTCGGTTCATGACAATTCTTGACAGTTTTTCCGTCTTAAATCTGAAAGCCTGGCCTTGTCTACTCTTAACATACCTTGCCATTGCAGAGAAATACCCCAATCTCTGTCTTCTCTGAAGAAAAATCTTTAAAATCTTCTTTCTAAAAAAAAAAAAAAGCTTATAGCTAGAGTGGCTCGGGGTATCTTGAGCTATCTAACCGTTATGCTGCTATAGGCTTAGGCTACTGGAGGACATAGGGACCCATTTCCTCTTTTTTCTTGCTGCTTTTTCTCATCATAATACTTTCCTGGTCCTGTTTCGATATGACTCCATCCTTGAGAGAGGGACCAGCTTTTTCTCTCCTAGTTGTAGCTATGGGCTCAGCTTTTGCTATGACTAACTGTATGTGCTCTTTTTCATCCCTTGTGACATAAAAATCTACGTATTGCTATTCTGTTTTTCATAAACAGAAACACCTATGGAGCTAACTTAACATTAGCCTTGGCAGAAGGTCGCTCACATTGAGCCCGGTTCTGCTGGATTTTTTTTTTCTGTTATGGGACGTTTTCTTTTTCACTGTCTCTGTATGCATGCTTGGACTGGGAGATTGCTGCTTTTTTGATTCTGTTTTTGTTCCACACAGCATGGCCATTTGTGAAAAGCAGAAAAGATGGGAAACCGTGGAGACTGCTTACTTTAAGTGGGCTTAATGCACATGCACATGGATTAACCTTTGATTCAAACAGCTGTACCTAAAAATAAACACCATAAATCCAACAAGAGGCAGAAGGGAAACAATACAGACAGTTGTTTTGGGGTCAAATTCTGAAAGGAAAAAAGAGGAAGCATCCTAATATACATTTCTTTTTCATCATTTTGCACAATCCGAAAATGAGAGAAAAACACGTCCAAAATACTGCGCAATAAATATCTTAATATGCATGCAGAAAGCCTTATCCAGTACATCTGCTTTGTCAAGCCATTTGCATGCAAGGCAAGGCAAGGTTGTTTGTATTGCACATTAACCTGCGTATATCTATAACAGATTTATGAATCTTTTTCTTTTATTTTTTTTCTGTTTTATTATCTAATTCATGTAAAGCATTTTGAATTATCCTTGTATTGAATTGCGGTATACAAATAAACTTGCCTTGTCTTCAAGTGGCATTATCAAAGAGAAGAAAAACTGAGGTAGAATTTAAAAGACTTTTTACCTTACCTTTACATTAGTAACAGATATTTATATGCAGGAAAGACGTCTTTACATTTAACTGTAGATCAAATGGATCATAAACGTCTAATGGCAAAAGAAATATCACCCCAGACCATCATCTTAGCACCACCATGGCCGACGGTTGCTAGTATGAGGTGTTGTGGTTCGTTATGGGCAAATGTCTCTACTTTGGTCTCTTTTGTCTAAAGGCAAAATTGTTCCAGAAATCTTGTGGCTCATTCAGAAGCAACTTCCTAAATCTAAATCCTGTTTGTTAAGAATGCTCTCCAAACAAGTCAAACTTTATAAAGCCTTCAGTCTCATCTAAAGGCTCTCTACAATTATTAACAGATCATCCAGTCAGAATGGTTCAAATTTTTATATATATAAGGAAAATAAGCTGATTGCATCAGTCATTGATGTTTTAAAATTCACTCTTCCTGGATGAGCATGCAGCAACAATAGACATTAGCTTATTGAATCTACAGCAATCCCTCACTTCCATCATGCATGCAGCAACAGTGGAGAGGAAAAACTCAATTTAACATGATGAAATGTCCAACCAGATTGTTAAAATATCAGCTAAATGTAATGGAAGATTGTTTTTTTGTTTTTCTTTTATTTCTGTTTTTAGAAAGAAATAGTTCAACTTGTTTGGGAACCACTCTATAATCCTTCTCATAAACTGATTAATGGCAGTAATTGCTTCTTAAATGACTTTGCTTATGAATTTCTCCTTTGGTGTTGTGTAAATGTGCCTATGTGCTTCAGACTGGATTGAAAACATGTAGGCCTACCTGTAGAGACAGTTAACCCTCCTTGTGATCTGTGAAAGTATTCATTTTATTATTCAACCGAGGACATTGTTGAGTGTCTGCTTTTTTAATCAGTTTTCCCCCCCTAGAGTAAGTATTTAAAAGAACCGGGTTGATGAGGAAGACATTTAATAAACAAATACTTATTTACTACCTGGAATTGACACTTAACTTGACGTTGGAGTATCCCTGAATGTCCACAGGTTTCACTACAGAAAATTACACAAAATATCCTTGTAGCTAGCCAAAGGATTGCCATCTACGCTGGCCAAGTCATTAATATGCAACAAAAAGAGCCTGGGAACCTTTCCCAGTACCCAACAAAACAAGAGGTGTGTGAACCCTGAACGGCATTGCCAGCAAAGAACAGACAGCAAACTCTTCACATACCCACTTCTACCTGAATGTCATTCAGAGCTTCTTACTCATCAAATATGAGGGATCGTGGCAGAAATCCAGATATTGCCTGAGTCTACCAACTGGAGCAAGGTTGTAGCTGGGAATTGACACTGTAACCATTTAAACCGTACACAAAACATATTGAATGCACAAATCAGCACACACCTGATTTGGGAGGCATTTCCATTTCTTGAGCTTGTTCTATGTTTTTTCCTAGTTAAACCACAAAGGTACAATTCAAAAAGTGAATTTGAGAAAGCTTCCCGGATGGGAAGCGAAACGTCTTCAAACTTGGAAACAAAGTTTAGTAGATTGTTTTTAATTTTCTTTTCTCATTTTTCGTACTTATATTAAGAAGGGTGGTGCAGTTTGTAATATTGTTGCCAAGCAGCAAGAAGGTCCCTGGTTCGATTCCCATGGAGTTTGCATGTTCTACGGCTTCCTCCCACAGTCCAAAGAAACTTAACTTTTAACTTTAAATGATAAACTTGTGAATATATAAGGGACCTTTTAGTTATACTGACCACTCAAAAGGTCCCTGAAGGCAAATACGAGCGATGTTTGTATTTGGCATGAGGTAAAGAGAATGTGTTGTGTTAAATATAATTCAGAACAAAAGGAGAATAGAAAATATGCAAAAAAGTTTTGAAAAAATTTGAACAAATAAAAACATCGATCAAACAAAATCTGAGAAAACAGCAAAGCTACTCTGTTAACCTTTTTCTAATAATAAAACATTTTTCAAAGTTGAATTTCTAGATTACAGCTTCTTTCAAATTTCCATTTACAAAAGAATTTTTTTGCTTGCAACAATAATGGAATAATAGCTCTACAGTGATGTGTAGTTAGCTCAGCAGGGTGAGAAAAATGGAACAGCTCCAATTGACTACAGTTGCTGTGATCAGCTGTGAAGACGGAGGGAAAAAAAGAGTCATTAGCAGGACTAATGATTCAAGCGGCGTACTGGAGATGTGTCTAAAAGCTACAGGATACTGGCCCTCCAGGACTGGAGTAAAACCACCCCTGACAGGCAGCCACAGAAAGCTGGAAACTTGGACATAGCTGAGCTCCATCATACAGCCAAAGTTACAATAGAACCTACACCTTTTAGACTTGTTTTCAGTTCTTAACTATTTTAACAATGATTATCAATCACTTGATAGCTAAAGTTGTTCCATTACATGATATCCTGAAAACACACATATGTGGTTTTAAAGTGACAAAGTAGAAAAATTTAAATCTGACCACAAAACTGTCGTGTTTAGCCCAAATTTCAACAACAGTCGTCCAGCTGTTTAAAGAGCCTGTCCATTAGAGGACAATGACTGCATTCTTTACAGAGTCTGTCTGATGCATGTGTTGTATTCTCCGCTCACTATGCTCTGGGTAGCTTAAAAGGTAGTGAGGTTGTCTACATCTCAATCCTTGGTGCCAGCCTCTTTAAAGAAAAAAAAAAAACAACAGTAGCTTTTTTCATGTGAGAACAGGCAGACAGACCGCCATTGTCGACTAATGGAA